TATTATTAATAATAATTATTATTATAATTATAACTATAACATTATTTTTCTAATATAAAAGTTTTTTTTTTAAAAATATTTATTAAAAATTATTATGCTGTTTAATTATCAATTTATTGACTCAGTTTTATTGATATATGTCAGTTAATCACTATATATTTTATACCTATGAACTGGTTTTACAATACTGACATAATAATACAGTAAAACTTGTACTAGAGTAAAACCAAACTTTCCTTCTTTTCTGTTATTTTTATTTACAATTTGATACAACATTATCGATGTAAATGCGATAATAATTATTATTATATTACATTGCGACTACGGCGTGCAAGTCATATTTTTCAATACGAGTGTTTATCAGTTGTAGACAAAACGTATTAGGCAACACAACTAAGTGAGAAATGTATTCCTGCATAGATGCAGTAGGCCAAGAAATAGAAATAATTGAAACAATAAAAGGTAAGCCTTTAGCAATTTTTAATGGAATGAAAATGGGACAGTTTGGGTATGTCTGAATGAAAAAAAGGATAGATGTACGGGTCGTATGAGAACTAAAAATTTAGAAATAATTAATTTTTCCGATCATTTATGTAAGCCTGATGTGGCCGCAAGTGAAGTAAATAAACAATTTGATAATGCAAGAAAAAGAGTGTGAGAAGAGTCGTCATATACATCATCTCAAATTTTTCGTCAAGAGATGTCCCCTTTATTCCAAAAAAGCTATGACCACGTTACGAATATTCCTACATACGCTTCCGCCAAAACAACTTTAAATAGGATTAAAAAAAGGACACTTGGTAATACATTAGATCCAAATTCGAAAGAAGAAATAATTATACCCGATATTTCACAATTTGGTAACAATTACCAATTTTTATTATTTAACGATGATATTGAAGAAAGAATTATTGTTTTTTCAAATAATGCTCAACGAGAAGCTTCATCTATATATAAAAAAAATTTTTTGGACAGGACTTTTAAAAGTTGTAGTAAACAATTCCTATAAATATATACAATACACGTAGATATTGGAAGCAC